GATGGACAGTCTCCTCCTATGCAATTAACTGCCTCTGCAAAATCTCTGTAGGGTCAGCTATGGGTTGGTTCTGACTCAATGGCAAATACCAACAACCTATGAAAATACCAAGCAAATTATTAACATTTAGTCTTTAATTAATGAGCGAGTTCATTAGGTTCTAAAATTTTTAAAACCACAAAGAGAGAATCTCATTTAACACTACCTACAAGGTCACCAAATTCTAGAGTTCTTAAAATTACAATGAAATGTTGTAGGAGAAAATCTCATTTATAACTTCCTGTAACTACTCTGGAACCCTGCTACCTTGGTAGTTCAATCTACTATCCACTTTGAAGGAGAAAAAGAAGGCAATCTGCAGAAGGCAATTGTTGTTGTTAGATACCATCAAGTCTTGAGTACAACTCATAGAGATGCTAGGAACAGCCATTCTGAACTCTGCACTATCCTTTGCAGTCCTTATCATCTCTCAGATACTAGAGTCCATTGCTGAAGTCACAGTGACAATCCATCTTTTTTGGGGGTCTTCCTCTCCTTCACTGACCCTCTATCTTCCAAGCATGATGTCCCTCTCCAAGGAACAGCCTTGCCTAGCTACATGTCCAAAGTATGAATGACGATGTTTGGTCATCCTTGTCTCCAAGAAACAACTCTGGCTACACTCTTTCCAGGACATACCAATTTGTTCTTGTGGCAGTCCATGGGATAGTCAATACTCTTCTCCATCACCACAACTCAAAGGCATCAATTCTTCCTCTGTCATCCTTATGCATTGTCCAGCTCTCTGATGCACAGCATCTGATTGAGAAGACCATAACCTGTATCAGGCATACTATAGTCTTTAAATTGACATCACTGCTTTGCAGTATTTTGGTGAGGTCCCTAATTGCAGACTTGCCCAATACGTCTCCTGATTTCCTGATGACTGGTACCACAGGTGTTGAGTGTTGATCCAAGCAAGATGGTATGATTGACAACTTTAATATTTTCTCCATCCATCATAATGTTGACTGTTGGGCCTGTAGTGAGGATCTTTTGTGTTCTTGATATTGAATAGATGTAATCCATACTGAAAGCTACAGTAGTCCTTGATCCTTGATCTTCTGTAGCAGACATTTCATATCCTCTTCACTTTCACCAAGGAGATTTGGGCCATCAGTTTAATGCAGGATGTTCATGGGTCTTCCTCCAATCCTGATGCTACAATCTTCTTCATAGATTCCATCTTCATGAATAAAGATTACAGTCTGGGAAACCATATAAGGTTACATTTATTACTACAGGGTTATTATGAGTCAGAATTTCCTTGAGGAAAAAAGGTTTGATTTCAGAATCACTTTCAATACAATATATTTTGCTAAGTTTAAATCATTATAAATTGTCATCAGCATGAAAATCAACAGTATATATTTCAAGCTAACTTAATATGCTTCAATCTACCTACAGGCATCTCTGAAGGGCAGTCTGATAATTTGCTACCAGAAGCCCACAGCTATCAACATCCTATGAAGCACAATTCTACAATGAAAAACATGCAGTTACTGTGTGTCAGAACTGAATCAGCAGTCACTGGCTATGACATTCACTATCCTATTTTCTTTTGTAATAACAAATGAACTTTCACCTACTTCCTATAATCACAAAATAAAATCAAATAAGGTTTTTATTCCTTCACATAGTCATTTCAGCATTTACTAAAATAAAGCAAGCTTTTGCCATATACTAATTGTTTTATTAAACTCCATCTAAGTCAGAAGAGCGTTTGGAGAATCTTCAAGAGACCAGCAGGTTTCAAATGAGGCAAGAAACATAATAATTAGGCATTATTCTCCTCCATCCTGGACATATAAGAGAGTACAATTCTTTCTACTTTCCACTTTGCCGGCTTCCTCAACAATGGCTTGTCAAAGAGAAATCCCCACTAACCTGACTGGCTTGTTCTCTGGGCCCATGTCTTTAAAGCCCAGCTCCTCCAGTTTGCAACGCCTGTAAAGTTCATAGTGTCTAGTGTGAGTTTGTTCTCGAAGATCTTCCATATTTGTACAAATGAGCATTTCTCGGAGCTTTACAAAGTCACAATGGTTCTCATTTTCCACTAGCCAGGAAAAAAATGAAAACAGCAACATTGGTTTTTAATATCTAGCACACAGTTGGTGTCTGCTAAATGGATGAGTAAATAAAAACATATATGGAATAACAAATCGAGAAACAACCAGTATGATTAATAGTTACAGTTATTTTATATAAGTAACCAAGGGAGAAACTCTTGGATTACAACATTACATTATAAACAAAGCCAATTAACAGAATGTCTGTTATAAATTTAGTAGACAATGAATAAAGAAATAACAAAATACATTATAAGGGAGCTCTGGTGGCCTAGTGGCAAGAAGCTGCACTGCAATCCCAGAGGTAAGCAGTTCGAATCCACCAGATGCTCTGTTGGAGGAGGGGCAATATCCTTCTGTACCAGTTAAATTCAATTTGACGGTACACATACAAAAAATAATTTAAAAAACCAACAACATTATAATGACTATGCTCTCACTTTTTCACTAAAAAGTTAAAAGTTCATAAACGATATTCTGAATATTTCATAGTGCTTGAAGAGTTTGTAAATATCATTTTACTAAAATGGCAAAGGCATAAATTTTGCAAACTTAAGGGTGCCATCTGCATACTACCATTATGAAACTCTTTTTATATAATACTCCATTTGCAATTCTGTTAGATACTAGTCAAAATTAGTGAATAAATGTATATGGTCTTTTATGTTTAGGACCAGAAAGCTGAAAATTATGTTTCTGTGACTAGTAGTGCTAATTACAATTATTTCTTTAACATTTTCTACAATAAAAATTTCCATTTATCAGTATTTTCATTAACTACAAATTTGTTGTGGTTTTTTTTGGTTGTTTTTTTGTTTTTAAAAAAAGAGGCATTTGGCCTGGTTTTTAGTGTGTGACATCCAGTCGGAACTGACCCACAGCTGATCCTCCAGAGGCAGTAAATTGCACGAAGGAGACTGCCCATCCTTATTCTTCTGAATTCATATTCATATTCATGTCTTACTATTCCCCATTAGCTAGCATCACAATAAACCTGCACTATGGAAGGAATTAAGGAGCTACTGAGGTTTAGTGCATTACATGCTAAACTGCTAACCCAAAGGTCAGTGGTGCAAAATTTATAGTTGCTTTCAGAAAGAAAATAAGGAGGCCCTCTTCCCATTACGATTTATAGCTTCCAAAAAATAACAAGGCATTTCCATGTTTGAAAACCAACTCTATGGCAGTAGCTAAGTATTAATTACTTACTCATAAGATACATCTGCTCGCTCAGCTGAGTTCTGCTGCTAAAGCCAGAGACACACCTCTCTATGAGTACAAATCCACCCTAAGAGAAATCTGGGCACCCTCCTGCCATTTGATTTACAGCATCAGAAAACCAGTTAGAGAACCAGCTATGAGTTAGTTCCAACAGTGATGAATTAAGTTTGATTTTGATTGATACTCAAATTTTCTTCAAAGTGCCGTGGCATACCAACAGAGATTCAAATGCAGAAAACGAGGCAGCTCGGCCTGGCCTTTCTGCAGAGACTTTGTCCTAGAGCAGTACACAGTAAAACCCTATGACAACAAAGCATAACCCAAATCACCAGTCACCTCCACAAACACATTAAATGCAATTTCGAGACTTCTGGGTGACAGATCTATTAATATTAATCATTCCAAACTGTTTACATTCTTCTTATTTACCTTGTACGACACCCCATGGATACTGACGAGCTTTGACCATCTTGTTTCCAACTTTGACCTCATCCATACTTCCTATAACAGCAAATGGTAAATGTGCCTGGAACAGAACCATACTATCAACCACATTTTCTCAAATCAATATGATAACCAACTAAGACTATTTTATGAAATTAACAGAGAATAAGAAAAAACTAATCTATTAAAGAATTTCTTAAAATCAAATTATTTTCTATGCTTCACATTTTCAAACCTGACAGTGAATCTGTGCTATTTTTTGACAAGAGTAATTTTAAAATTCTATAAATAAATAAATTTGTTGAGTATTGCCTATTGCAAGGCATCATGCTACTGAGACTATAAAAAGAGAAAGAATTCTAGTATACGCATCTTCGCTCTTGATACTACCATTGCCTAAAACATAATACTGTAGTGTAAATTATACATACACTCACACACGTGCAGGCACACACACTCATAATAGTCCACAGAGTCCGAATGTGCATCTATATCCAGTATGCGTATAAACATATATGATACTAACACAAAATAAAAGTCTGAAATTCAATAAAACTTAGAATGAGACATTACTGGGAGTACGAAAAACTAGGGAAAGTATTACGAGAAAAGAACAGCGCTAGTTGACTCAGAAAGGATTAGATTTAGATGGATCAAGAAGAGGAGGGACAAACATAGGTAAGAAGATTTTGAATACAGAAACAGCGACATGCAGAACACAGATTCAGGAGCAGCAAAGAAAAGTGTCTGAAGTTGAGGGTCAATAGAGGGGAAAAGCCTCATGTACAAAGTTTTAAGTACTATGTTTAATATGTAATAATTAACATTCTTTACTCTCTTCATTTCTTCTTCCTGAAAAATCCTTCTGGGTAATCACATGAAATAAAATTCTATCAAAAACAATTTAACATACAGGAATCTAGATCACTTTAGTTCTATTAATCAGCTTTTCAGATATTTAGTGCAACAAATAAGGAACATGCCAGAGAACCCGCCCAAAAAACCTCAACCCAAAAACATAGAGATTTCAACTTATGGCAACTTATGGCAAACCTCAATTAGAGGAATTTACAGGAAGTCTCTCTGACTCTAAATTCCAGACTGTTCAAAACATAACCAGATAGTTAAGAAATTTGTAAACTTTACAAAAAGAAAGCAAATAACTCAGTCATTTCTAATTAAACTAAAAGTTGAGACTAGTTATAGTGACACAAAACAGGCATTTGTGACACTACAAATTATCTTAAATTCTAGATTAGAAAAACCTCCTTGATTTAAAGATTCTAAAGTATTCTAAATGTGACTATTAAAAAAATATATAGAAAGCTGTCCTACAGATACTATGAAGTATGGTTCTACAAAAGGTATATCCCCAAAATTCAAATAACCAACAGAGGTACAGTCAGTAGGAGCTTACATTCATTGAAGAATTGATTTTAGCAATGGTCTCATCATCTGTTGGGAACTGATATATCTGGACACCATTGCTAACCAACTCACTCATGAGCTTGATCTTGAATTTCTGTAATTCACTTTTAGAAATCGCATCTGCTTTGGCAATCACTGGTATAATGTTCACCTATTAAGAATAAAGAAAAAAAGAAAATATCATAATTAAGAATTTGTTTATAATCCTGTACACTTTTCACATTTACAGCGATCAGTCTCTGACAACATTTTCTACTTAGATCAGGAGGTCAGCAAAGGCTTTTGTTTGTGTTACTGTCTATTCTGATAAAGTTTTATTGGAATATAGCCACACATTTATTTAGATATTGTCTATGGCTGTATTCATGCTACAAGAAGAGATAAGCAGTTTAACAAAAACCACATGCAGTGTAATACCCAAAATATTTACTACCTGGACTTTTTTACAAAATAACCTGCCAATCCCTGATTTTAGTAATCACTGCATTCTTAAGACTATATCCATTCCAACAAATGCTGGCTTTATAATTACTTTTAAGAAGCAGTTTGTTTAAAATTAATCTCCAATATGATTTAGAAATGCCACCATTTCTTCCCATTCCCTCCAAGTCTTGCATCAAACACAAAAGCAGCAAAATGTAAGCCATAAAAATATAAATAGTCTCTTTAACAAAGAATTTTTACTTCTTAACAGTCTAGGTAGGAGTTCCTGGGTAGTGGCAACATCTCACACATATACCTGCTAAATAAAAGATAGAGGCTAGCGTCCCCTCAGAGGAGCCTCAGAAGAGAGGCCTGGAGATAATATCTGAAAAATTGGTCACTAGAAACCTCATAGAACACAGTTCTACTCTTGACACATACAAGGTCACCATCATGGCAATACTCAACAGCAACTAATTTAACAATCTAAGGACTAAATAATCAGGGTGACTGACCTCTTAGCAAAACAAAAATAGCTAAAATTAGTCCTTTGCCTCTCTTCAGTGGGCTCTTTTCCTCACCCTAATGAATTTATCTCTGTGTCTCATTGTCATACTCTTATCTGGATGTCATGTTGTTGTTGTTATGTGCAGTCGAGTCGTTTGTGACTCATAGCGACCCTATGTATAACAGCCCTAAACCCTGCTGTATCCTGTGCCAATCTAATTGCCTCTGACACACCCATCCCGATTACCCCAGTCACTGAATCAATCCACCTCATAGAGGGTCTTCCCCTCCTGCACTGTCCCTCTACTCTACCCAGCATGATGTCCCTCTCTAAAGACCTGTCTCTCCTTACAACATGTCCAAAATATGTCAGGTGAAGCCCCAGAATCATTGCCTCCAAGGAGCAGCCTGGTTTAACCCTCTCTACGATGAATATGTTTGTTTTCTTGGCAGTCCATGTTACATTCAATACTCTTCTCCAGCACCATAGCTCAAAGGTGTCAATTCTCCTATCCTCCCTAGTCATTGTCCAACTCTCTGATGCATAACAAGTGATTGCAAAAACCATGGCCTGTATCAGGCGCACCTTAGTCTCCAGAGAGACACCATTGCTCTTGAGTACTTTAGAGAGGTCCCTAACCGCAGACTTTCCCATCGCAATACGTTTTTTGATTTCCTGGCTACTGGTGCCAAGAGTGTTGACCGTGGAGCCAAGCAAACTGAAGCTGTGAACAATCTCAATCTCTTCGCCATCCATCCTGATGCTACCGATCGGTCCGGTGGTGAGAATTTTTGTCTTCTTGACATTGAGCCTTTACAAACATCAACTAAAAGATTCATGATGTAAAAGAATAGCTTTCTCAGCATTATCTGAAGTCTTTTCAATGGCCAGAGAGGAAGCAATCTGAGGTCATTAAGACCAATTCATTATAAGCCTAGTTCTGCAACAGATTAATATCTTGTCTCTACAAGAGATTGACATCTCCACAGCTCTGGGAGTTAAGTGGATTTTTGGTTTTTCTCCACTAACTTCCTTATTTTCAGTCCTATATTTCAAGTTAATTAGTGATATGTGGATTGGAGAGTGCATCCAGGAATGACTGCATATCATTTTTAGAATAGAGTAAAAATTAAGATTTTAACTTCCATTTTTTGTTCTTCAATGCCTCACAGGTTGACAACCTATGTTCAAATTTATCAGTCTTCCTCTATATGCTCCAGAGAAAATAAAATTTTGTCTATTAAATTAATGGTGGAAAATTTTCCAACAATAGTACGTAAATAACTTTCATGCTAACTTAGTCAATATATAAAAAAACTCTGATGCCAAGATCATGTTTCCATATCATACTTAGTGATTTAATAATCTAAGACAGTAACATAGCTATAATTGCTTCTAAAATAAACATATTTATGTTTATGTTTGGCCAAAGGACAGTAACATGTTTCAAGATATTTCCCCATGAAGATAACTTGTCTCTATTTCTATAAGATGAGGTAACTTCCCAAGTATTTTAGGAATAAAAGAAAACATGCCTGAGGAAGCCAGGGAAATTAGAAAGGGAAGCCAGCACAGACATCTCCCATTTTTATGTACGTAATAAACTAAAAAAATGTCAGTTATGGACAAAACAGATTTAGACTCTTAAAGAGCTCTTAGTTGGCATAGAACTACACTCTCTAGGGTTTTTAAGGTGGTGACTTTTCATATAGCCCACTCTTTCTTCTGAAGTGCTTCTGGGTCAGATAAAATGGCCAGCTCTCTCTACCAAGTGGCTGGAAGATAACATTTCTCCACAAACAACACACATATCCTCTTATGATATGAAATCTAATCAAGTAACCAAAGAATACCTGTATTTTACTTAAATATAAATTTCATTGTTGTTGTTATGTGCTGTCGAGTCGCTTGCGACTCATAACGACCCTATGTACAACAGCCCTAAACTCCGCTCTGTCCTGTGCCAATTGCACTGTCTCTGACACTCCCATCCCGATTATCCCAGTCACTGAATCAATCC